CTTGCTTGAGCCCAGGAGTTGGAGGTTGCTGTGAGTGTGATGCCATGGCACTCTACCCAGGGGGATAGCTTGAGGCTCTGTCTCAAAAAAAAAAAAAGGATTCTTAGGAAAGGAATGATATAATATGACTTCAAGTTTAGAAGGATCCCTGGTTGCTGTGTTAAATATAGAGTCTAAGAGTAGAACCAGAGTAAGGCCAGCATGGTGGCTCACATCTATAATCTTGGTACTCTGGGAAGCCAAGGTGGGTTGGGTGGATTGCCTGAGCTTAGGAGTTTGAGACCAGCCTGAGCCAAACCAAGACCTCATCTCTAAAAATAGCTGGGTGTTGTGGCAGGTGCCTGTAGTTCCAGCTACTTGGGAGACTGAGGTAAGAGAATCTCTTAAACCCAAGAGTTTGAGGTTGCTGTGAGCTGTAATGCTATGGCACTCTACCAAGAGTGACAAAGTGAGCCTCTGTCTCCAAAAAAAATAACCCCAAAAATTAGAACCAGAGAGAATGAGGAAGGACACTGTTGGAGTAACCTAGGAGAAAAATGATGGAGGCTTGAATCAGGATAATATCAGGAGAAATGGTAAGAAGTGGTTTGGATTATGATCATATTTGAAGGTTGAACAAACAGATTTACTGATAGACTGGATAAAATTTTCCTCTGTTTCAGGATCTCATAGTAGGAGAATAGACATATGAAAAGACAATGATCATTAATACAGGAGTGGGGTATACAAATATTTTGTATAGAAAATAGATGTCTGAGAAAGCTTCCCTGAAGATGTAAAACCTAAAGTGCAGATTTAAAAAGATAAATAGAATTTATTAAAGCATGCAAGAAAAGATATTGGGAAGAATTGACAGCATGAACAAGGAGCAAGAGACAGCATGGTGAGTAAGGGAGGGTGTTGGTAGAGGCATGAAGTTGGAATTGATCATGTGTAAGAGATGTAGGCAGACCATGGATAGCCTGGTTTGTCACATGAAGAAGCTTGGGCAATGGGAAGCCATTAAACTCCTGTTAGATAGAAGAATTGTAGGGTGAAATTTTCCTTTTCAGTAGATCACTCAGATGATTGTATGGAGGCTGGGTGTGAGAGGTCAAGAAGCAAGATTACTATTTTAATTATTGACTTATCTATACAACCATAGTTATTCTAGAAGGAAGTATTAGTCTAAGTTTACTTTCTTTAGCAAAAATGAATGGGAGAAGGTTCTGAGTAGCACTGTACTACTATAACGTGTGTGTGTGTGTGTTTCTTTTTTTTTTTGTGGAGACAGAGTCTCACTTTATTGCCCTTGGTAGAGTGCCATGGCATCACATAGCTCACAGCAACCTCCAACTCCTGGGCTTAGGCGATTCTTTTGCCTCAGCCTCCCGAATAGCTGGGACTACAGGCGCCTGCCACAACGCCTGGCTATTTTTTTCTTGCAGTTTGGCTGGGGCTGGGTTTGAACCCACCACCCTCAGTATATGGGGCTGGCACCCTACTCACTGAGCCATAGGCACTGCCCTGTGTGTGTGTTTCTACACATATAAATCTAAACTCTGTAAACTAAAAAGTTCTATAGTTTTTTGTTATTGTTAAAACTAAGGATTAAACTTTAGTGAAGTGAAAGTTCTGTGAAATTTTTGAACATTTCCTTTTCTTTTTTTTTTTTTGAGGCAGACCCTCAAGCTATCACCCTGGGTAGAGTGCTGTGGTGTCACAGCTTACAACAACCTCCAACTCTTGGGCTTAAGCAATTCTCTTGCCTCAGCCTCCCAAGTAGCTCGGACTACAGGCACCTGCCACTACACCTAGCCATCTTTTTGTTGCAGTTGTTGTTAAGCTGGCCAGGCCGGGTTCGAACCCACCAGCCTGGGTTTTTGTGCCCATCGCCCTACCCACTGAGCTGTGGGTGCCGCTGCTATCGAACATTTCACTGAAGAGAGTACTAATTAATGAAGAATACATTTTACAAATGAGTTTGTTTTCTAATTTATGCTTTTACCACAGGAATGTTTTTTGTTTCAGTATGGTGATTAAAGAGCATTATCATGGGTGGTGCCTGTGGCTCAGTGGGTAGGGCGCCACCCACCATATACTGATGGTGGCAGGTTTGAACCTGGCCCCGGCCAAACTGCAACAAAAAATAGCCGGGTGTTGTGGTGGGTACCTGTGGTCCTGGCTGCTTGGGAGGCTGAGGCAAGAGAATCACCTGGGCCCGGGAGTGGAGGTTGCTGTGAGCTGTGATGCCACAGTACTCTACTAAGGACGATAAAGTGAGACTCTGTCTCTACAAAAAAAAAAAAAAATTTAAAGAGCATTATCATTGACAAAAATCAGATGGCTTACCTAGCATCTGATTGCTTAGCTTCAGATTGCTTACCTAGCAAACCAGTAAAAAAAGCTCAAGTGTATTGTAACAGCTAGTTCTGGGATCTGAAAGCTGTGTGGTAAACACACTTTGTGTTTTGTCAAAAGGGGTTGCTGCTCTTTAACCTGTTCCAAAGGCCTGTGTGGTTGTTGCATAAGCCAAGTGCTTGTGAAAGTTTAAGAGTTAATATATATGTGTTCCATTTTTACCTGTATTCATTTACTTGCTAATACATAAGAAAGGAATCAGTTATGATGACTTGGGAGTATTTAGGCAAAATAAGTGTTCTAAAAATTGAACCCATATATTGGATGAGGCACAGAGTACATGTATACTTCATATACATTATTTAATCTTGAGGCTAATGCAAGGTCATATTACTAGTAAGTGGTGGAACAGAGTGTATGTCGACTAGCCATGGACTGTTTGAATGGGGGAATAGAGTGTAGCATTGGTATAGAGTGGCAAAGAGAATCAAACTGCTACCGTCCTGGCCTTCAAGTGTTAGACTTAGAGACCTGGATCTTGGGTGTATTTTTTGTTATTTGAAGTAGGGAGTAGGGTTGACATAATCCTTTTTGTTTTTAATAGATTTATTTAAAAAGTGTGAGCAAATGTAAAATTTTAGAAGTATGAAGTATCCCATTCTTTATCCCAGATACCCATTTCACCTCCCCAGAGACAGCTGCTATTGCCAGTTTCTCTGGATCATTTTTAGAGGTATTATTCATGTTACAACTCTACCAAGAGTGACAAAGTGAGACTCTGTCTCAAAAAAATAAAAAAAATGTTCTATTTTCCTTTCCTGAAACATACTTCCTTTTTGTCTTTTCAAATCCTAGCCAGCTCATAATCCACTTCCTCTGTAAAGCCTTTTCAGTGTTCTCTTTCTTTTGTGCTGTGCAGTCTTTTTATTATTTTTATTTTTTGAGACAGAGTCTCTCTCTTACCCTGGATAGAGTGCTGTGGCATCATAGCTCACAGCAGCCTCAAACTCTTGGACTTGAGCAATCCTCTTGCCTCAGTCTCCTGAGTAGCTGGGGCTATAGGCATGTGTCACTACGCTCTGGCTAATTTCTATTTTAAGTAGAGACCGGTCTCACTCTTGCTCAGTCAAGCTGGTCTGGAACTTCTCAAGCAAGCCTCCTACCTTATACTCCCATGTAGCTGGGACTACAGGCACCTGCCATAATGCCTGGATAATATTTCTATTTTTAATAGAGACGGGGTCTCGCTTTTGCTTAGGCTGATCTTTGAACTCCTGAGCTCAAGGGATCCTCCTGTCTCAGCCTCCCAAGAGTGAATAATTACAGACATAAGCCACTCCTCCTGGCCTATGCAGACTTTTTAAAAAATCCATAAGTGTATGTATTATAAGTTGCCAATTATATTTAGTAAATGTCTACATAGTAGAAACAATATTAATATTTTTAAGTCTCTGTGATACATACAGCCAGTAATCCTAGCACTCTGGGAGGCTGAGGCAGGTGGATTGTATGAGCTCAAGAGTTTAAGACAAGCCTGAGCAAAAGTGAGACCCCATTTCTACTAAAAATAGAAAAACTGAGGCAAGAAGATTGCTTGAGCCTGAATTGGAGGTTGCTGTGAGCTATGTCTCCAAAAAAAAAAAAATCTCCATGATACTCTCTCAGCACAGTAACTTACAGTAACTTGAACATATTAGATAATCAGTGACTATTCTCTGGTGATAATAATGATATATTACTGCCTCATGAACATAGCCATTCACTTGTTAATTTCTTTTTGAAATCACAGCTCACAGCAACCTGTAACTCTTGGGCTTAAGTGATCCTCTTGCCTCAGCGTCTCCAGTAGCTGGGACTACAGGCGCCTGCCACATGCCTGTCTAATTTCTTGTTGCATTTGTCATTGTTGTTTAGCTGGCCCGGGCTGGGTTTGAACCCACCAGCCTCAGTGTATGTGGCTGGCAAGGTAACCACTGTACTACCGGTGCGGAACCCACATGTTAATTTCTGTTGCTTGTTTTCATGTCTGTCTGAGTTTTTACTAATTCTATTTTTAAAGAATTTTAAGTGCAAAATCTTAATCTTGTAACAACTTTGTAACACCGTAAATATTTTTTCATTCCACATGCATGTTTTATTTGTTCATTATATTTATTTATTTTTTGTTTATTTTGTTCTTTTTTTTTTTATTACCCCCTCTGTTGCATAGAGAAGCTGCAACCAGTTTTGTCATTTACCAAGTCACAACCGGAGGTCTATAATGACAGTACTAACTTGACATGCCGCAATGGACATCTTCAGTCAGGTGGGTTTAGGTTAACTAACATGTAAAGTAACAAAGTTTGCATGCAAGGTAGAGTCTTACTTTATAATGTTGATTTGCTTTCTTTTGTAATATAATATTGATTTGACTTTATAATGGTAGGTTTAATTTTTTATGTTCTCACAGGGCTGTGTTGAAAATAAACTTACTGCATCATTCATAGCGTATAATTATGTAACAAGTAATATATAGCCATTCTAATCATGCTTCATTTGCATAGTTTGCAACCTCCAGTTTTTGTGATTATAAATTGAAGGCAAATTTTCTCTCTGGCTGGGCATGGTGGCTCACACATGTAATCTTAAGCATCCTGGGAGGCTGAAGTGTAAGGATTGCTCGAGCTCGGGATTTTGACACCAGCCTCCAGCCTGAGCAAGAGCAAGACCCTGTCTCTAGAAAAATTAGCTCAGTGTTGTAGTAGGCATCTCTAATCCCAGGTGCTGGGAAGAGGGAGAAACAGGAGAATTTCTTGAACCCAGGAGTTTGAGGTTGCTGCGAGCTAGGCTGATGCCAAGGCATTCTAGCCTGGGCAACAGACTACAACTCTGTTTAAAAAGAAAAAATTATTTTTCTCTCTCTCTCTTTTTTTTTTTGTAGAGACAGGGTCTCAGTTTATCACCATCACCCTCAGTAGAGTGCCATGGCTTCACACAGCTCACTGCAACCTCTAACTCCTAAGCTTAGGTGATTCTCTTGCCTCAGCCTCCCTCAGGCTGGGACTACAGGCACCCACCACAACGCCCGGCAGTTTCTTTTGTTGTTGTTGTTGCAGTTTGGCCAGGGGGCCAACCTTGAACCCACCACTCACTGAGCCACAGGTGCCACCCTTCTTTCTCTTTTATTTTTAAAAAATAGTGATAACGGCTTTCTACTGAGGGCGCCAAAGTGAGACTCTGTCTCTTTAAAAAAAAAAAAAAAAAAAAGTGATAGGATCTTGCTCTGCTGCCCAGGCTGGAGTGCAGCAGCATGATGATAGTTCACTGCTGCCTCAAACCCTTGGGCTTAAGCTGTCTTCCTGCTTTAGTTTCCCAAGTAGCTGAGATTACAGGTGCAAGTCACTGCACCTGGCTTTTTTTTTTTTTGTGTAAAGATAGGTCTTGTTAGTTTGCCCAGACTAGTCTTGAACTCCTGACCTCAAGTGACTCTGCCTTGGCCTCCCAAAATGCTAAGATTACAGGTGTGAACCACTGTACTCAGCCTCTTACATTCTTTTAAATGATTAAAATGTTATTTGTTTCTGTTACTTTAAGCTTTTGTGTTTTTTTATGGATAGCCATACCAATTTTTTTTCCAAGACACAGAATTAAACATTTTCATTTTTTTGTTATGTGTTAATTTTCATTGCATATCAATTTTCGTATATACTATGTATGTACATGAATTTTTTTAGTACCTGTTAGAAAAAATTTGAAGCTTCACATAGGAAAGAGAAACATTAGAACATTGTTATGGATTAAATCTGTGTTCTAAAACTTTTGGGTGTTAGCTTCTACAGAAGATTAAATTGTTTTTGTTTTGTTTCACTAGGGTACTCTTCTTCCTAGATTCTATGACATCTCTGCTACTTTATTGGATAGCTGACTATGCAGCAATAATTTCATGTCCAGAGCTAAAATTAAAATAAGTAGTACTATGTTCAGATTATTACAGAGAAGTCTCAGATTTCATTTAGGCTATAAGAAAACTGCCTTTTTTATTTATGTATAATATAAAACTTTTAAGGTTTTGATAGGGAACAGATAGAGTAAACGGTTTTCTGTGGACCTCTTTCCCTTGTGGCTTTCTCTCTCCCTTAAGAAGTTCTCACTTTGACTTGGTCTTCCAGAACAGAATTAGTGGCTATACTCCTTTTCCCATTCCTTTCTATGTCTGATTTAAAATGCTTTTTCAAGTATGGATGTATTTTGCCTGTTTGTCTTAGCATAACTGTGAAGGGCTAACATTTTCATAAGGAACTTTCTGAAAAAAAAAAATAAAGTATGACTGTACCACATGTAAATAGTTAAGTTTCTGTAATATATATTTTGGATCCTAACAATCCTACCAGGATAAATAGTAAAAATTCTCTGGCCCTGAAAAGCTGATATGCCTTTCTCTTGTTATCTTGGTTCTCTTTTACTTCATTACACATTCTAGATGATCCTGTATGTATTTTTCTGCTGTGCCAAAAAAATAAAAGAAGAAATAACTTTGTCTTCTTGGGACCCATTTAAAAATAAAATAAACTTGAGCTTGGTGCCTGTGGCTGAGCAGCTAGAGTGCCAGCCACGTACCAAGGCTAGAGGGTTTGAACTCAGCTTGAGCGTGCCAAACAACAATGACAACTGCAACAAAAAAATAGCCAGGCATTGTGGTGGGCACCTGTATTCCCAGCTACTTGGGAGGCTGAGGCAAGAGAATCGCTTAAGCCCAAGAATTTGAGGTTGCTGTGAGCTATGACGCAACAGCACTCTACCAAGGGTGACATAGTGAGACTCTGTCTCAAAAAACAACAACAAAAATAAATAAATAAAATAAACTTGGTCTTATTTCAAAATCCTTAACACAGGTTGAGTATCTCTCAAAATCTGAAATGCTCCAACATCCAAAATTTTTTGAGTGATGTTTAAGGAAATGCTCAATATAACATTGCAGATTTTGGATTTTTGGATTAGGAATGCTGAATCAATAAGAGTAATGCAAATATTAAAAAAAAAAAAAACGGGGGGGCGCCTGTGGCTCAAAGGAGTAGGGTGCTGGCCCCATATACTGGAGGTGGGGGGTTCAAACCCGGCCCTGGCCAAAAACTGCAAAAAAAACAAAAAAATCAGCCAGGTGCGGTGGCTTACACCTATAATCCTAGTACTCTGGGAGGCCCAGGTTGATGGATTGCTTCAGCTCAGGAGTTAGAGACCAGCCTGAGCAAGAGTGAGACCCTGTCTCTATTAAAATAGAAAAACTAACTGACTGTTGTGACAGGTACCTGTAGTTATAGCTACCGTGTTTCCCCGAAAATAAGACCTACCCAAAAAATAAGCCCTAGCAGGATTTCTATGCATTTGTTTCTTTTCTTTCTTTCTTTTTTTTTTTTTTTTTTGAGACAGAACCTCAAGCTGTCCTCTTGGGTAGAGTGTTGTCTCCAACTCCTGGGCTCAAGCGAGTCTACTGCCACAGCCTCCCAAGTAGCTGGGACCACAGGCGCCTGCCAAAACGCCCAGCTATTTTTTGGTTGCAGCTGTCATTATTTGGCGGGCCTAGGCTGGATTCAAACCCATCACCTTAGGTGTATGTGGCTGGTACCTTAGCCACTTGAGCCACAGGCGCTGAGCCAGTCCACTTGTGTTTAAGGTCCTCATTTTAGTCCCACCATGTGAATTGAAAATTTAGACTCAGTGTCAGAACGTCATTTTAGTGTATTCTGAATGTGGAGGTTTTTAAAACTTGAATTTTTTGTACTCTTTTTAATTATATAACAGCTTACCTGAGATAAACTGGTTCTTAAACAGTTGAATAGTTCCTTAAACCATATACGGGGTTTGATGACAAAAGCAAAACGGAGGCTTTGGCTTTTCTCATGGCCAATCTTAATTTGCTGACTGATTTAACATTTGTCTTCACAGCAGACATTGTTATATAAATACTGATGTCTGATATGTAGTATATAAAATGTTGTTTAGAAGCAATGATACTTGAACATTTAAAAGCCTATCATTTATATGGAAGACTGTCACAGGACAAATAGTCTTTTTGACTGAGTGGCATTCTGTAAATATATATTTACATAAATATTTATTATTAAAATTTGCAATATTTATCTCCAGCATGTAAAACACAGGCAGTCCCAAAGTCACAAACAGGTGGCTTATGCACTACTCTCACAGTACGTTCCCAAGTCACAAATATCTGAGTGAGATATGACTTACACTTACAGAGACTATTACAGGTAATAGGTAAATGCACCTATTCCAGCTTTACCTACAAATTCAACTTAAGAACAAACATTTAAAACCTCTATCTCAGTTGCAACCTGGTGACTGCTTGTGCTTAGCATATTAAAAAGTGCATCTAAATTTATAGTCTTTCAGTTGAAACTGACTGATTTTAAAACCTCTTTTGGCGGGAAAAGGTAGTGGACTTTTGCAGTATTTTTTAGTCATAAAAGTTTGGTTGAACTAAAGTAATAGAGTGCCTTTTTTTTTTTTTAAAGACGGAGTCTCACTATGTTGTCAGTAGAGTGCTGTGGCGTCATAGCTTACAGCAACCTCAAACTCTTGGGCTCAAGTGATTCTCTCACCTCAGCCTCTCAAGTAGCTGGGACTACAGGCACCTGCCCCAATGCCCAGCTATTTTATTGTTGTTGTTGCAGTTGTCATTGTTGTTTAGCAGGCCAGAGCTGGCTTTGAACCCACCTGCCTTGGTGTATGTGGCTGGTGCCCTAGCCATGGGCACTGAGCCAACAGAGTGCTTTTTTATTCTTTCCTTATATACAACTTATCTCTAGTGCTTTTACAATGTTTTGTTTGCTTATGCATTTGGACACTATTTCCTAGACAACTTAACTACTTCCTCCTGATCTTCCAAATCAAGTTGTTCCTTCTTTTTACTACAAATATTTTTCTTTATAAGAAAATTAGAATATATACATTATGAAAAGAAAAATCCTGTCCACCTAGTGATAGTTCTTGTGAATACTTTGGTATATTTTCTCATTGAAATCTTATTTTAAAATATTCCTGAATTTAAAAGAATTATTACAAATTTGTATTTGTTTTTATTATTACTTTTTATAATGTTTGGTCACAATTTTGTAATTACTGTGTTTTTTTTTTTTATTAGAAAGTGGAGCTATTCCAAAAAGAAAAGATCCCTTAACACACACTAGTAACTCACTGCCTCGTTCAAAAACAGTTATGAAAACTGGATCCACAGGTCTTTCAGGCCACCACAGAGCACCTAGTTTCAGTGGTTTATCCATGGTTTCTGGAGTGAGACAGGCACCTGGGCCTACAATTACTACTCATAAGGTATTCTTGGATAGTACCTTCAATTACTATGCTTTGGAAAGTAGAAAATTTTGATCATGTTATGCTTGTTTAAGTTTCACACAAGTACTTTGTAATAAATAATTCAAGAATGCGTAAGTTTCCACATAGTTAAATATCTTTTATGTCCACAGTGGCACATTGCTATGAAACTTTTTTTGGCCCTAATTAGTCATTTTATATTAACTTTGCCTACCTTGGCTATTTTATATAATGCTATATATTTCATTTGAAATTTATTTTCAAAATTACTTAAACCTACATAAATGTTTTATAACATCACCATACGTAGAGATTTGTCATAACTCTAACAAGAATCCAAACTGCATGAATCTGTTATCATAGGGCCTTTTTCTTTCATAAAAACCATCTGTGGATAAAATCTTCTATAACCACTTCATACCAAATATAGTTCTATAGTCAATGAAGTTTTGCCTTGGTGTACATGTACAATTTTCAGATTTTTATATCAGTTTTACTATTTTTAAAGCCTGAATTCTATGAACTCAAGGTTTATTCATTTGTAAAAAATGTAAATGTTAGGTTGTATATTTACATTAAAATTTTATATCCTTTAAGGGTACTCCAAAAACAAATAGAACAAATAAACCTTCTACTCCTACAACTGCTGCGCGAAAGAAGAAAGACTTGAAGAATTTTAGAAATGTGGACAGCAACCTTGCTAACCTTATAATGAACGAAATTGTGGACAAGTAAGTTTTGCCATTTAAAGTGTTGTATTTTACAATTTTTAGTTTTGAATTTTGTTTATAAAATGTTTCATGAGTGAAATAGATAATAAATACCTTATCTGATTTACATGCATGATTTTTATGATAGTTTTCAATTACTGTAAAAGTAGAAAGTCATTGCTTTATTTAACTGTGGTTTAACAGTTTACATAAAAATACACTTTGTAGAAACTAAACTTCATATTATAATAACTGAACCATATTTCTATTACGGAACTAACTGAGGTTTTGTTTATTAGTGGAACAGCTGTTAAATTTGACGATATAGCTGGTCAAGAGTTGGCAAAACAAGCATTACAAGAAATTGTTATTCTTCCTTCTCTGAGGCCTGAGGTAAGAACTTTATATTATCATTTTCCTATAACATCATCCATTACTGAATCCCTAGTAGTGGTTAAAAAAATGTTTGGATAGTGCTAGAATGATTAATTCACAAAAGGTAACAGTAATGTTTTTCAAAAGACAAAACATTAGCAATTGATGTTGACAATTTATTATTGGAAAGGAGAATGAATATAGGAATATCTGATTCCTAATCCATTCTTAAGACTTTTAGAAAAAGTGGGTAGTAGAGTATAATTTTGATTATACTCCACATCTAGATGAGAGAGATTTAAAATTAAGAAATAGAAATCATACTAATGAAAAGAGAAATTCAGATTAAAGTAATTCTTTCTTACACATATACAAAAAAAAAAATTTATTCTTTCTTTCTTTTCTGTTGGGTAGAGATAGGGTCTTCCTGCTTCAGCTTCCCAGAGCGCTCAGATTACAGGCATGAGCCACCATGCCTAAGAATAATTCTTTAAAAGTTTGAAGACAGGCTCGGCGCCTATAGCTCAACCGGCTAAGGCGCCAGCCACGTACACCTAAGGTGGCGGGTTCGAATCCCCAGCCCGGACCCGCCAAACAACAATGATGGCTGCAACCAAAAAAGAGCCAGGCGTTGTGGCGGGCGCCTGTGGGCCCAGCTACTTGGGAGGCGGAGGCAGGAGACTCGCTTGAGCCCAGGACTTGGAGGTTGCTGTGAGCTGTAATGCCACGACACTCTACCCAGGGGGACAGCTTGAAGCTCTGTCTCAAAAAAAAAAAAAAAAAAAAAGTTTGAAGACAATAGAAAATAATTATTCTATTAATAATTATGTCTATATAGAATTATATATAGATAATTTATAGAATAATGTACTATTAGTACATTAGACAGAGAACCAGTGAGTGGTGGTTAGGAACCTATCCTTTCATACCATATGTTAAGATTCATTAAGGAATATAGGTAATCTTGTAGTTGATAATATGTGATTTTCTATACACTAAGCACTGTTTTGGATTTTTACAATTCACAGATTGCATATTGAGTGCTGTTTTAATAATACTACAAAAATAAATCTGAGGACCCACTTCTGAGTCACAGTTTTTCTCCTTGAACGTTCAAATCTTATGGTTTCATCTACAACAGCTAATGGAAATATAGTTGTGTGGTGCATTGTGATGGATGCATTATTAAATGAATATACAAAGATGTATGGCTCTATTTTTCCATAGTCTCAATCATTTGCATGTTACCTTTATGGTATTTTATCACCTGTGAGTACCAACTGTACTAGGATTTACTGAATAATTTTCAAGTCTGTTTTTATTTTACTTAGTACTCATTCTAAGTACAGGAAATCACTGGTTTGATATGCTAGTTTAGTTCTTCTCATACCCAATAAAATAATTAGAGATTTTTTTTTTTTTTGAGGTCAAGTCTTAATTTCTTTTCTTTCTTTCTTTTTTTTTTTTTGTTTTGAGACAGAGTTTCACATTTTCACCCTTGGTAGAGTGCTATGATGTTATACCTCACAGCAACTTCAAACTCCTGGGCTCAAGCAGTTCTCTTGGCTCAGCTTCCCAAGTAGCTGGAACTACAGGTGCCTGCCACAACACCCAGCTATTCCAGTCTTATTCTGTCTTATTCTTTTTTTTTTTTTTTTTTAGAGATAGAGTCGCCCTCGGTAGAGTGCTGTGACATCACAATGCCCAGCTAATTTTTTTGTTGTTGCAGTTTGGCTGGGGCAGATGTCAAACTTGCCACCCTTGGTATATGGAGCCAGTGCCCTATCCACTGAGCCACAGGCACTGCCCTCAAGTCTTATTCTTTTCACCAGGCTAGAGTGCTGTGGTGTCAACCTAGTTTACAGTAGCCTTTGGTTTCTGTGTTTAGGCAGTCTTGCCTTAGCTTCCCCAGTAGCTAAGACTCCTGCTATCACGCTCAGCTAATTTTTTCTGTATTTAGTAGAGATGGGGAGTCCTACTCTTTTATGTTGCCCTTGGTATAGTGCCATGGAGCTCACAGCAACCTCAAACTCTTGGGCCTAAGCGATTCTCTTGCCTCAACCTTCCAAGTAGCTGGGATTACAGGAGCCCACCACAGTTCCTGGCTATTTTGTTGTTGTTGTGCTAGGTTCTAACCCACTAGCCATGGCACATGTGGCCAGCGCCCTAACCACTGAGCTACAGGTGCTGAGTTTGGGATTACTTGCTAGGCTTTCTTAAACTTCTAAGCTCAAGGGATCCTCCCACTCCCCTCTCAGAGTGCCACAGTTACTGGTGTGAGCCACTGCACCCAGCCCATTCTGTTGCTTTCCTTTTTTAATTTTATTTTTAATTATTTATTTATTTTATTTTTTGAGACAAAGTCTTGCTCTATCACCTAGGCTGGAGTGGATCATCATAGCTCAGTGCAGCTTCAAACTCCTTGGGCTTAAGCAATCCTCCTGCTTTAGTCTTCCATGCAGCTAGGACTATAGACAGGCACAACAACCCACTAATTTTTAAAATTTTTGTGGAGATGGGATCTTGGCTGTGTTGTCCAAGCTGGCCTTGAACTCCTGTCCTCAGTGATCCTCCTGCATCAGACTCCCAAAGTGCTTGGATTAAGTGGCACCTGTGGCTCAAAAGAGTAGTGCGCTGGCCCCATATGCTAGAGGTGGTGGGTTCAAACCCAGCCCTGGCCAAAAACTACAAAAAAAAAAAAAAAGAACCAAAGTGCTTGGATTATAGGCGTGAACCTTTAAGCCCAGCCTCTCCTGCTTTCTGTCGTACTTGAAGCCTCCAATTCTGAGCCTTCCTGGAGTTTTTAGTTCACGTCAGCTTGCTTAACAGACACATAGGTTTTAGCTCAGTCAGCTCTGCTGAATAACTTACCACACTTTATTCTCCATCTTACAGAAATGTATTGTGTCTGCTATTACCTCCTTTCCTATTTTTGTTTGGAAGATTTATATATAAATCTTTTTTATATATTTAGTATTATTTTTGGTGTGATTTCTCAGCAGAGGAACATGCCTGTGTTCAGTTTGTTTAACCAGTGTGCTTTCATTTTATCACTGAGGAGCTGGTTTTATTTATTTTGTTTTTTCTGTTTTTAATTATTATATTAAATTACTGATTATGTGTTTTTCCCTTTAAAATGGTAGAAAGCTCTCTTTGGAAGGATGCTACTGAAAAAGGTTGTTTTTAGATGATAAATAATACTTAAAATGCCTAGAAAAAATAATTTCTAGAATCATAGTTGTGATCTAATATATATATTTTTAAGTTATTCACAGGGCTTCGAGCTCCTGCCAGAGGATTACTACTCTTTGGTCCACCTGGAAATGGGAAGACAATGCTAGTAAGAATTCTTTCAAATTTGAGGATTCTATGGAGATATTAGGGACAATAGGAAGAAAAACTTTATATTATTCTTATCTATTTTTGCTTTTTGCTGGGATATACTTCTCAAGTTTTTAAACTAGTTCTCAATGCCGAAATAGATGAAGAAAACAGATGTCTTATCCTCCATAGTATGTTTTTAGTTGGTTACATTTAACAATGTTTTTGTGATTATTTTTCTAAATTAAATAGTAAAATTTTTCCCTTAGAAGAGCTTACCTTAGCATATTGAGTATCTTTCTAATTTTTTTCTATTTTATGGCTTTATTTAAATAATCAGTATGTTATGG